GAACATAAGCATACTTGATAGTTGATTGGTAGGATTATACACAATTGAAAACAGTGATCTACAAATATAAATGGTTGGTAAATATCTTTCATATCGGGATCTGAGATTATATAAAGGTATATTGTTATTAAACAGACAATCAAGAATGTAAGGGAATTAGGTTTATTGGAAAAATATTAATTGTAATTGAATATACATTGTACAATGAAAATGAGGTATTTAGTTATATTAGATGAAAAAATTGTGATTGCAAATGTAACTGAGAATATGGATGCAAAAACACTTGTAACCAAATGTTACAAGTGTATGTAATGGATGAGATCTTTTTTTTATATTGTTTTTTTATGTTTAAAAATAAAAAAAACAGATTGCAAAAAAAGAAAGAAGATGTTGGATAGCCATTTGTCTGAAATAGTGTAGGGTTTCCTGCTTGAAAAAAGGGGTTGGATTAGAAGACCTCCAAGGTCCCTTCCAACTCTGTTATCTGCCTTTCTGATGAGTGGAAAGGAAGTAATGGTATCAGTGCTATAGTGCCACCTCTTGGCCATATCATGCCATGGTATGTACCAGCACGTCAAACTAGTCCAGATAAAAAGAACCAACACTGCACAATTTTTATTGTAAGATTACAGTAATAGAAGCTTGCAAGTCCAAAGGTATCTCTTACCTCTCTTTGGCGAACCAGATGTAAAAGTTAACATGCCGGTGGGATTCAGACAGTGCGAACCAGCTGAATCCCATCCCTGCTCTAACCTCATAATAAAAGTAATTTGTAAATTGTAAATTGTAATTTGTAAAAGCCTTTGTAATTTTTGATTTCCAAGTCTTGTCTACCCCCAGGGTTGACATCAATTCTGCCAGTCTAAACACACTTTCCCCTCCCTCCTTTTATCTTTGCAAGAACTAGGCATGGTCCTATCTGAGAATCTTTCCCAAATGACAGCTCTCTCCTGGATTCAAATTTTCTATTATCTGGTTGTTGTCCTGTTGATAGTTCATCCTCCAGATCAGTGTTTCTCAACCTTGGCAACTTGAAGATGTCCGGACTTCAACTCCCAGAATTCCCCAGCCAGCATTCGCTGCAACTTGTGTTCAAATAACAAACTTGGTCAGGTTAGCTCAAGACCTAGCATCTGTATTTGCCCCTGTGTGCATTAAGCCCAGTTTGTGCTCAGGCCGTTGAGTTGAGTGCTAAGCTATTTGTGTGAACGACAAGTCTATGCATTGGCCGTGGGGGGGGGGGGGAGAGGAGAGGCTGGAGAGAAAATGCCAGGCCTCCAATCCATCCTGCAGGCCAACTTTGCAGGAAACAGATGTTTCCTGTCTGCTTACTTTGACCGACTCACTGACCTCAAAATGTTTTTTGGATATTGTTGAGAGTATACTCCTAGTGTTGGGTAGGCAATATAGATTCATATACAACAGGGGTTCCCAAACTTGGCAACTTTAAGACTTGTGAACTTCAACTCCCAGAATTGTCCAGCCAGCTCTGCTGGGCATTGAAGTCCACAAGTCTTAAAGTTGCCAAGTTTGGGAACCACTGATATACAATAACAAATGGTCGATGTTGCTTTAAATGGGTGAATGTACTTATCAGCTGTAATTGACTTTACAGTCAGCTGTAATTACTTTGCAATAAGAGGGAGTCAGGAAAGTTCTCTCTCTCTCTCTCTCTCTCTCTCTCTCTCTCTCTCTCTCTCTCTCTCTCTC